GTCTAAAAAACCACAAGAAAGCTAAGAAGAAACAGGGAAAAGTATTTGAAATAAAAGGCAATAGGGGTAATTTGTACTAACAAACATCTTCTGTTTTGCAAAAGATGTGTTTACTACAAACTGCTTTCTAATTGCACATCACAATATAATAATATAATAGGAATTAAACACAGTCATCAGTGTGCATTTAAGCTGTATTTTAACAAGCTTATCAGAAAGAGGTAAATAAACCAAAAAGGAACAAATACCAGTTATTAGCCACTACTTTTGATTTCTCTCCAGTGTCTTTGTTTTCTCTCTTACAAGAAGTGCTTCCATTTCAGAGGAAAGTGGGAGAAACAGAGGATACTGGAATAAGTTGTTTCAAGAGGAAGGTTCCTTCTGGCCTGTTTACACAGCAGTTAATCCAGGCCTTGAAATGTGACATTTATCTTGCTTCCAAACTTGGATATTTTCCCTGTTAATCCTAGCCTAATTTTGGATTTTCATGATCCATATAATTGCCTAATCTTTCCTGGAACCCCCTAAGCACACTGTAATTTTGATTAAGACAATTTTACATGAGTCCCAAACAATATGCAGCTTTGTGAGGCGCAGCAGGAGGGGAATGGAGCTCAGTGGGTGAAATGCCTGAGTCACTGCACTCACTGGCAGAACTCCTATGGACCTGCACGTCATGGAGGCTTTGTCTCCACAGAGCCCCTCCAAAAAACCATTGCTCACACCTTATGCAGCTGCAAACATGGTGTCTGCAGAGAGAATCACAGAATCACAAGGTTGGACGAGACCTTCAAGATCATCGAGTCCAACCCATTCCCTGACACCTCAACTAAACCCTGGCACCCAGTGCCACACCCAGTCTTTTTTAAAACACATCCAGAGATGGTAATGCCACCACCTCCTTGGGCAGACCATTCCAATATTTTATCACTCTTTGTGTGAAAAACTTTCTCCTAATATCCAACCTATATTTCCCTGACACAGCTTGAGGCTGTGTCCTCTGCTTCTGTCAGTGCTGCCTGGAGAAAGAGACTGACATCCACCTGACTACAACCACCTTTCAGGGAGCTGTAGAGAGTGATAAGGTCTCCTTATCCTGAGTCTCCTTTTCTCCAGGCTGAGCACCCCCAGCTCCCTCAGTTGTTCCTCACAGGGTTTTTGTTCCAAGCCCCTCTCCAGCCTCGTTGCCTCCTCTGGATGTGTCTCAACATCCTTCCCAAACTGAGGGCCCAGAACTGGACACAGTGCTCAAGGTGTGCCCTCACCAGTGCCAAGTAGAGGGGCAGAATGAGCTCCCTGCTCCTGCTGGCCACACCAATCCTGATCCAGGCCAGGAGCCACTGGCCTTCTTGGCCACCAGGGCACACTGCTGGCTCATGCTCAGCTGGTTGTCAAGCAGTGTGACCGTGTTGGCAGGGGTCTGAGGATGAGGGAAGAGATGAGGATCTGACTCCATGTTTCAGAAGGCTGATTTATTATTTTATGATATATATTATATTAAAACTATACTAAAAGAATAGAAGAGAGGATTTCATCAGAAGGCTGGCTAAGAATAGAAAAAGAAAGAATGATAACAAAAGCTTTGTCTCAGACAGAGAGTCTGAGCCAGCTGACTGTGATTGGCCATTAATTAGAAACAACCACATGAGACCAATCCCAGATGCACCTGTTGCATTCCACAGCAGCAGATAACCATTGTTTACATTTTGTTCCTGAGGCCTCTCAGCCTCTCAGGAGGAAAAACCCTAAGGAAAGGATTTTTCAGAAAATATCATGGCTACAAAGCAGTACCCCCAAGTCCCTTTATGCCTGGGCACTGTCCAGTCACACCATCCCCAGCCCAGAGCATTGCTGGGGGTTATTGTGGCCAAAATGCAGAACTGAGCACTTGGATTTATTAAACTTCATCCTGTTAAGACTCAGCCTAATCATTCCAGGTCTCCCTGCAGAGCCCTCCTACCTTCCAATTGATGGACACACGCTCCCAGCTTAGTGTCATCTGCAGATTTACTAATGAAAGGCTCAATCCCCTCATCCATGTGGTCAATAAAAATATTGAACAGAGCTGGCCCCAGCACAGAGCCCTGAGGGACACCACTGGTGCCTGGCTGCCAGCTGGATGCAGCACCATCCCCACCACCCTCTGGGCTGGCCATCCAGCCAGTTCTGAGCCCAGCACAGAGTGCTCCTGTCCCAGCCCTGGGCTGCAGCTTTCCCAGGAGTGTGCTGTGGCAGACACTGCCAAAGGCCTTGCTGGAGTCCAGACAGACACATCCACAGCCTTTCCTGCATCCACCAGGTGGTCACCTGGTCATAAAAGGAGACCAGGCAGGTCAAACACAACCTACCCCTCCTAAACCCCTGCTGGCTAGCTCTGATACCCTGGCCATCCTGTAGATGCTACATGATGACACTCAGTATAAACTGCTCTATTATCTCGCCAGGTACTGAGAGCAACACCTCTGCAATTTCTGCACAGCCACAGCTACTTCTACAGCCCCACAGACAAAGCAGGATTTGGCTATCAGAGAATCATGGAATCACTGAGGTTGGAAAAGATCTCCAGCACCATCAAGTCCAAGCTGTGTCCAATGCCTGCCCTGTCACCCAGCCCAGAGCACTGAGTGCTATGTCCAGTTGTTCCTTGGACACCTACAGGGATGGGGGCTCCACCACCTCCATGGGAAGCCCCTTCCAATGCCTAACAGCCCTTTCCATGAAGAAATTCCTCCTGATTTCACCTGAACCTCCTCTGGCACAGCCTGAGGCCATTTCCTCTCATCCTTTCCAAATGCTCTACTTAGTGCCTTAGTCACCAGTCTGAATGCTTGGCTTTGGATAAAATCGCTCCTGGAGTTCTTTATACGAGTGCTGCAGCCAGGCTGTTCATACCTAAGCTGGCAATACCCAGCAATTTCTGTTCTACATGAGCTTCATCAGCTTTCACAGTCACTGCAGTGTGTCTCAGGCTGACAATAATGACAAGAGAGCTGGAACATGCCTAACTTGGAGTCAGTTGGAATAATGAGCAGTTTGAGTTATGTGGGGACAAAGAGAGTGGCAGCTAAATCCTGCCTGCTGATGCAGTAAATAAAAGGAGAAGTTCTGCCTGTCACTGCTTCCTAATGGCTCCTCCATTACCATTATCACTGGATTACCAGGCTGCTTTTATCCACTCTGGTAATTAACTGCTGCTTCTGGTATTTCTCTACCCTCACTGAGCTCAGATGTGCAGCTTCTAGCCTGAATCACAAATTATATTCAGAGAGATTGTTATGGGGAATTTCAGGTGATTTTCCAATAAGGAAAGGTGCAGGAGCACACATCAGCAAGTGAATGTTGTGATGTTTTCCAGTTTCTTACAGAACTGTGTACAAAAGAAAGGTTCTCACCTGCAGGTCAGAGCACACTTGGTTTAACTAACACAGTTTAACTATTTTGAGCATTATTCTTTAGAGCATTGTACATTTAATCTCATAGGTTCTGGGCCTCAATCCAACATATCCACAGCAGCAAAGGCAGGAGCAAACCTCCTGTTAACAAATATCAGTAAAAACACCTGTGCAGGAGCTGCCAAACCCCTGGCTGGTTATTTCTGTTCCAAAACCTCTTGCTGGTCAAAGCTGGAAGCATCCCAAGCACATAATGGTATCCCCAGCCCCAAAATCTGTGAGGTCAAGGTGGTGACAGGTTTATATTTTGCTCCCTTTCCCCACTGACTCCTGACTTCAAACCAAAGAAAGGGTCATCAGCTCCCCACAAACCTCAGCCTTGTTTAAGCACAGCAACAAAACTGTGTTCACACTGTGGTCTTGGGCCCCTCTCACCATAGGGATTTTTCTTTTCTTTTTATCCAGTAGATATTTACTCCCATGGCTGCAATTTGTGCAGAGGACAAGCCAGGAATCCCACAGCAGACACACAGGAAGCCCACAGGGCTGGCAGCAGGGTTTGAAATCCACACTGTTCTTTCACTGTTATCAGACACAGCTTAAAGGCCCAGCACTGAGTCTGCTTGCACAAACTACAGCAAAACAGTCCCCATTAATACCAACCCTTGCTCCTGCACACCAAATGTTTAGAAGTCCACGATCTTTGAGATTATTCTGACTTTCCCTTTTTACAGTGTGCTATAAAGTTAAGCATTATTTAAACACAGCTCTTACTGGAAGATACCCATCACATGCTGGACCCCATGGTAATCATCTGACCATGGCAAGGGTGTTGATTAAAGACTTTATTAGCATTCAGGGTAATCTCATAACCTGTTTGCTGAGTTGACAGATGAAAATATTTCCCTTGAAAGTCCACTACAGACATGTTTACTGCCTTAAATATTGCTAAACTGTCATACAATTCCTGCCTGATGAGAGGAATATAAAGATACTACATTTCTTATAGATATCAAGAATTATAAATACTAATTCTATGTTAATAACTAGAATTCTATGTTAATAAATAGAATTATGAGCCAGGTCTGTACATATCTGAAGATTCAGCCTGTTGCCTTCAGAAATCTCCCTTCAATAGGAGTTACCCAGCTGTCTCTTAAAGATGCTTAAAGAAACAATGAACAGCTAAGGATCTAACCTAATTATCTGTAGGAACTTCATTCTGCAAGAGGCAGTTCTAGCTGAAGGATATTGGGCCAAGAGACAACAAGATCTGTGTGATCTATTTATACTAAATCTACAGTCTCTGAGAAGCAACTGGAAAGAGGAAAGGAGGCAGCCCAGAGCAGAACAGCCTTCACCAGTGTGCAAGGCCAGATCTCAGCTCTGATTTTAAGAATGCTGAGCTTTTCTTCTTGTCAGTGCTGTGAGGGCTCTGCAACCCCAATCAAGCCATAAATGATTACAGTAAAAGCCATGTGGGGAATAATCAGAGACTGGACTTAGGCACAAGTAATTACTGCTAAGTTTTTGAGCACTGGCAGTGTTTCTGATCCCATATCAACCCAAATGTTCTTACTCTGACTCTTCCTCTTTTTGTTCCTTCAGGCTCTCAAGCAGAGACTCCTCCAGGACTTCCAGATCTTCCAAGGGAATTCTCAGCAGCCAGCTGACACGGCAGATCAACACCCTGGCTCGAGCATCATAGGATCCTTGAGGAGAGAAAAGCCCAGGAAATCAGCCTGATCAGTCTGATGCCACAGTTTAGTTAAGGAGCAGAGTACTCAAGGAATGTGTCACAGAGCAGCTGCTTCCCCCAGGCCCTCCTTTTCTTCCAGGAACATGAGAAGAGACTGATAAATGGAAAATCCTTCTTCCCTGCAAACAGAGCCACCACACCAGGTAATGCCTCTGTGGCAGGAAAAGGATCTCAGATCCTTTGGTCTCCATCCTCTGGGGTAGAGGCCTGCTGGCAATTTTGCAACAGGGAAATGCTGCAGCAGGACCACTGCTAACTGGAAATATCAAACATGTCTGTGTGGGTAACTGGGTACAGCTCACCTCAACTGGCATTTTGTAAAAATGCAAAAAAATCCATGCAAAAGCTTTGTCCTCTCCTTTGGTGGCAGCAAGAAGCACTCAGGAGTGTAAAGCTACACTCTAGCTCCCCCAGCAGCACCACGGACAAATGTTTGCTTTTACACTCCCTGCCAGAGATGCACAATGCACTCAGACAACAGCAGAAAACTGTTGTTATCTGTTATACTCAATACTCCTGGTTTTGTAAGCAGATGTTCTTCAAGAAAAGACATCTTGGAAGAAAAAAATGTCTTAAATGCTATAGATTTTAAATTATTTGTGCCAACTCTTGCTTTTTTAATGTGTTTCTCTCAGCAGCATCTACTGCTTCCTGATGTTTGGCGTTTATAAAGGGTTCTTGGTGCACTCTGGGATGGAAATTTTTCTCAAGGTGGGTGAAGATACCAGCAAGACCCAATTACAAAGAATGTTCGTGATACCCACTGCACGTAGATCAAACAGGGCATTGGGCAATCTATGAGGGTTGTTTATTTATTACCATCATTACCAAGATACCAAATCAATGCCATAGCTTTAAATGACACCCTTGGTCAGGTTTGTGCGTAGTTGAGAAACGAGGACAGGATTTATCTTCACTCCTTCCCGAAATGCGGCACGTCCTGCAAGGCCAGGCAGGGGGAACGAGCCCCCTTCTCTTTTCTGTCTGCTGACACTGCTGGGTCCTTCCTCACCAGCCTGGTGGGAAGGCAGCAAGGCTTGGAAAGAGATTGCTCCTACATTCCAGCTTCACAAAATAAGCAGTTTTGCAATAACTGACTTGTCAATTTTCCATTAAAAATAAAGCAAGAACAAAACTTGTTTTGTTCTGCAGTGCAACAGGGTATCAGCAACCAGTGAGTTCTTTCCTGTGAGGACATGTTAAAACACAGAGATTTAAAAAATGCAAGTAGTGATAGAATCCAGGCTTCTTTTAGAAATGAACATTCTGTTCAGCAGACAGTCTTTATTTCATTAATTTTATCAGACTAATCCATGTAATGGATTGCAAGCCAGAGAATTGTTTTATGTGTAATATAATATATGAGAAAAATCACATTTATTTATAATGGGCTTCACAGGACACTCTGGAATTTATACCCTGATTTTTTTTTTTTTTCTTTTTTTTTTTTTTTCTTTTAGGCAACCAGCAGAAAGTATTTTAGGCTGAGATTTTCATAACAGCTTTACTGCCTTCCTAAAGGAAGAGATCACCTGATTCTCTGGAAACATTGGAGAAAAACCACTCCACTCCACCACCATTTACATCTGCTTGGCATTGGATGGTGGGTGAAGGTAAGGAGGTGAAGAGCTGTTCAATTTTCAGTGGGTATTATGAACCATTCCTAAAAGAAGAGTTGTTTTTCCTGAAGGGGATGCAGGGAAGGAGTGTGCAGCTTTTGCCAGAGAGGAAGCTGAGATGAAATAGGATAGCACCTTTTTGAGCACTTCAAAGTATCAGATGTAAACTCAACTATATTATTTTTACAAAGAAAAAGTAAGCTTACCATCTTGAAGAGAGAACGACAAAAGGTCCTAAAGAGAGAGAAAAAACAAATAATGTTCAATTTAAAATTGATGATGTGGGTCTGGAGGGATCAAAACTGAGGCATAAAACCCATTACACTGACTGAATTACTGCAGCAGCTCAGTTCATAAGAGGGAAGCAGAAAGTTCCAATTCAGTGAGGCAGCACAGAGCAAAAGCAGTCCAAAATTCTCTGAAGGCCAGTACAAAGGGCTGGACAAAAGCAGATAGTGCTTGGTATATGCTAAGGCATCTCACATTTTTTAAATTTTGTTATGACCCTGATCTTACACCAGACTTTAAAGTTTGGAGGAGCAGGGCTCTAATCCTCCCACTCTAATGCCTTCTGCTCCCTACAGTCACATATGCAACATCACTAACAGGTTTGAATGTTCCTCTAATGGCCCCTATTTTCTTTGGCATTCTGGGAATTCACAGCCTTAGGCAGTAAGGCTGAACTGGCATGAAGTTCTTTTGGATTAAGTGAGTTTAAAAACTCAGAATTTATGGACATCTGTCAAGACTGAGGGACTTGACTCCTGTGTTGGCTCTTTACCATAAAAAAAAATGGAAAAACAAATCAATTCAATAGATGGTTTCTATGGATAAATCCATGAAAAAGAGGCCAGTGTTTTTACAACTGTGTTCTCCTCTTTTATTGCCACTGGACAAATTCTAAGCTCTTTATGTGACTACATTAAGCACCAGCTCAGTTGAGCTGCTTCCCTCTCCTACACACAAACACAGCACAGCTGAATTTTACACAGAATCCTTTCAGCCCTCTGGGAACACAAAAAATGCAGCCAAAGATGTAGGAGGCTGCCAAAGAGTTTATGATTATTAGTCCTGTAAGCTCCCAAGCACAGTTTGTGTAGTAAAAACGTCTCTAACCTGAGAGTCCTACACATGAGGAGTGCAGGATGCAGAACAAACCATCCTGAACCAACCAGAAGAGGGACAAACTGCAGGCTGCTCCCCAGGCTGGCTGCTGGGGTGTGGGAATGGAGGCACCAGTACAGAAGGAGGGATGTAACTGGTTTCCCAAAGCCTGAATACTGGGAATGCCCAACTATGTGGGCACCATCACCTCCTCCTGGGGGGACAGTTGGCACAGGGGTGTCAAAGCCCAGCAGAAGGTGCAGGGCTGGGAGCCTTGAGCAAAAAGCTGACCAAGCAAAGAGCCTTGAGTCTGGAATAAGGTGAAGCTTGTGACCTTGTTGCCACAGTTTTCCATGGACTGCCATAAGCAGCCTCGGAAAGAGGTGGTGGCTTGTGGGCAATAAAATCCCTGAGTGAGGCTGTGACTGAGGTCCTGCCTGCCCAGTATCACCTGTGGCACCTCATATCACACCACCCCACGTAAATCTGGCCTAAGCATGTACACATGTGCCTTTCAAAAGGTCAGGGAGGCACGTAAGTAAACGGGTGATAAACAGCAACAACTGTTTTTATGGCATCTGTGCCAGTTAGCAAACTCAAATTTAGGCTGCAGTTTAGGCTGTGCTCGTATTGCACATGCAGGCAGCTGGAATCCTACCAGCAGTGATTAGATTAGTTCACAACTGGTTTGTTTTCCCCCCTAAGCAGCAGTTGTTATATTGCAGCCTTATTGTGAAGTCAGTGTTTTGAATCCCCATGAAAACTCCATGACAAGACAACCACCCATATGACTGAGAAGCCTTACAAAAGAAGGGAGTCTTTATTCAGTCTTTGCCAGCTTTTTCTGAATTGATGCAAGTTCAAAACCCACTTCCTTAACAACAGAGAGCCCCAAATCCACATTACAGTTAATGTGGGTAGGACACCACTGGAATATGGGCATTCCAAGTATGCTGAGAGAAAAAACATATTTATAATAAGAATTTTCAACATGTAATCATCTATCACAGCTTCTACACCTCTTTTATTACATTGCCTTCCCATCCAACACCCATAGCCTGCTATGACTACTATCTTGAAAGTATTCAGTTACCACCATCTGCCTGTGTGTTAGTCATCTGCAATGACACAAAAGACACAAAGATAACAGTCCATAATCATCACATGTTCACTGAATCAATGGTGAGCTCACATCTAATCTCCTCACTTCATGGATCATCTCTTCAGCTCCTTTGACATGAAGAGCTTTCAAAAAATGCAGCATTAGTGCCAGCAAGGCCCTGCACTGAACATGCTGAGCAATTAAAGCAGATACTTAATAAACAGCAAATATTGCATCAGCAGCTGCTGAATACAAAGGAGCACTAGAACCATAAAGCAAAAGATCAATAATTCATAAAGCTTTGTCCCCTAGCTTGTTTATTTCCAGGTAAGAAGGAGAAAGCTGATCTCAGCTTATCATTGATGTTTGCCACACACCAGGGTTTTTTCCAGACACACCTCTGCTGCCTTGCTCTACTGAAGTCTTTCATTCTGCCTCTCCTCTGACAAAATCAATCATCTTGCCTACATAGAGATGACTGTGTTAGGGATTGCTGCTGTGGCATTAAACTGATAGTTATTCCTTATCTTTGCTTTCAGCTGATCAAAGTTGTCTATGGTCTCTGTATTCCACCCAAATCCAGGGGATATCCTCAGTTTCCTGTCAGGGCAAACTCCTGTGTGCTCCTGCTGATCCAGAGCCACATTTGTACATGCACATGGAGCCCTCATGCAGCACAAGCTCAGAGCAAGCACAAGCTAAATTCCATGCTTAATAAAATCAGCAGCAACACAGGAAAACTTGCCTCCATGCAGGGACTCCATCCTGAGGCAGAGAGAATGAGGGAAACAATGCAGGAAGCACATCGAGGCAGAAAGAATGAGTGTGGATGTATTGAATTTGAGGAAACAGCATCCAAAGAGGCACTTTTATTTCAGAAGATCTGCTCTAAATTATTAAGATCTCTGTTGCTGTCCTTGTACTATTGTAGGACTTTGGGCACTGGAACATTTGGACCAGGAGCAGATCCTCTGAGGCATTTCATGGACTGACAGGAGAGAGAAAAAGGTGGCTGAGGAAATGGGAGGCAGTCAAGGTGACCAGAGTTGTTCACTGCTCTCTTATCTCCCCATGCACAGCCGAGTTCTCACATCTGCTGTTCTCCAGGCCATTGCTCAAGGTGAGTGTGTGATAGCCCTTACTCAGCCAATATCAGAGCACTGGGTGCCCTTGGGGTGTCTGGCTCAGGGTGACAGTGCCCACGTTCCATGTGGCACCAGCAACAACCTAATGCTCTCTTCACCCTGCATGGCATAACATGAGGTTGGATGAGGAGAGATCTTCCCCAGCAAAAGCAAATGCTGCCAAAATGCTTCACCTCTTTTACCTATCCACCAGCTTTTACAGCAGAACATTATGGAGCAGTCCCAGTTTCACTTCCTCAGTAAAAGAAAATAGAGTCACAATAATTTCCTTCTGGTCAAAATGTACTCTGGGAAAAAGACTTTGGAAATTGTGCTCCTTGGAGCATGTGTGTGGAGGTGGTTTGTGATACAAATATAGTGAAGGGGCTTTCAGACAAGTGAGAATCGTGTCTACTGTGTTCAGGGTGTCACTAACATCTGTACAACAAGTGTATGAATGGAGACCACTGCAGTAAAAGAATCAAAGTAAAAACTTTGTCAGTTCTCTGTTCTGTAAAGTGAAACCATCAAAGACACAACTCAGCAGACAGTGACCATGCTTCATGTTCATAATTTCCATGAAGTCTTTATGGATAGACTGCCAGTCCCCCCACAGCTGCTTATAAATAAATGCCTATCAGAAATATTGGTTTTATTTCCCTGACTGCACAAACACCACTTCAGCTGCAAACAGACAGATATGACAAACTTCTTTTGCAAAGCAAACAAGGGTGAGGGGAGCACATGGACTTACCTGGGTAATGAGAAGTGGATTTTCTTTCAAGATGGGATCCTTCAGCAAAATTTCAGTGAAAGTTTCTGTGCCCTCACCTCCCAAGCCATCAGCAAAGGCTGTCATGGCAGGTAAGACAGCATCAGGCAGGTCCAGCCACTTCACAAAGGCCTTGATGAATTCTGTCCTGAAGGAGCTGTAAGGCAACAGAAGCAGTTAAGGCTTCACAATTGGGTATTTCAAGGCTTTACAACTGGGTATTTTTGGAAGTTTTGAGCAGTCCTTGGTTTCAAACATCAGTACAAACAAAAATCAAAGCATCAGGAGTCAGACGAAGGTGAATTGCTAAACCAACTGGCTAAATAAACAAGGAAATAATCTGAGTGGGACTAGACCTTGCTTCAGAACATGCTTTGATGTCTGCAGTGTTAACAGATGTGTTTTGTGCTGAACTGTAAAAGCCTTACAGGTGCAAAGAGAGAAAGGCTCTTCCACTCCCCCAACTTCAGAGGACCCCGCACAGAGTGTGACACCAGCTCTGGCTGAGCCACCACCCGAACTCCCCCTGGCCTGCCCAGGCCTGGCTCCAGCTGTACCTTTGCTCGTTTTCGGGGAACAGCCAGGCCAGGGAAATCCCGCAGAGCGCGGCGTACGCGAACCTGCCGGCCTCGGGCAGCCTCCGGCCCAGGAGAGCGCCCGGCTCCCCCTGCCCGCCGGGCCCGGGCTCCTCCCGCCGCCTCCCCTTCTCCTCCGCAGCCATCTTCACCTGCAAGGCCCAGGAGGAAAAAGCAGCAGAAAAAAACCAACAACAAACAGTTGGAAACCAGGAAGTGAGGAGACAAATTGCCTTTGTTTTCACTGCCACACTTGCTGCTGGAATACCAGATCCAACCTGTCTGTTGCCCCCAACACACTGCTGTGACCAAAGAAGACACAGGAACAGGACACAGATGAACAGTTCATCCAATTGTTCATCAATTCTTAAACTTTGCACAAAATTAGCTGACAATAAATATCTCAACCTGCAAAAGGACAAGTTCCCTTTGCGATGCAAAAGGACTGGGCTCCATTCAGGCCTATCAGTCCCACATTTATTGCAAAAATAACATGAAAATAAAAGTTCTGCCCCTGGTGCAGGGACCAGTACAGCTGCCTGGGAAATAGTTTTCCTCTCTCATCCTCAGCCCAAATTGCTCCTGTTTGTTTTGCTGATAGCATTGGGAAAGTTGAGTCCAGCTGCAGCCTCTGAGAAGGACTTTGGTGTCCCACAGTCATTGCTGAGCTTTGTTTGTAATATTCCTCCTCTATACAACCTACCACTGCTCTTTCCCTAAAAATAAGATCCCTGCACCTCATGGACTGTGAGCTGGACCAAGGGATCATTTTTTAGAATGTAGATGTGCACACACTTCCAAGTGATGGGCCTCCAGCTGCTCCCCTGGTGGTGCCAGCAGCAAACTGAGACCTCAGGCAGAGGTGACAACACTTAGCTCATTTCAAATTCAGCCTGGGTAACAACCTGGTCCAGGGCTCAATTCCATCACCTGGAATTTCTTCTGATTACCTTAAGATTCAATCTGTTTCTAAGAGGCCCAAATCACCCATTTCATTTTATAGTTCAAATTAAAATGTTTCCTTTCTTCTACACCCTGGCTAAATAGGAATTAGGAGCCTGTGACACTACAAGTGACTCCCAGGGGATGCAGACTGTTTATGGAACATTTTAGAGCCCTAAAAGAAAAAAACTTCAACAGGAGCTGCTCTTTTTAAAGAGAATTTATTATCTGCCTCCCATCTGTCATGGTCCTTTAGGAAAGGTGTCTGTCCTGCCTTCACACTCAGAAACCCTAAACATCAAGACTCCAGACCAATTTTCCCAGGAATAATCTAACACTAAAGTTTCAATAATTTTACAATTATTTGTCATGTCTGCTCACCTCTGGTCACATTATAGGAGACAGCACTGAAAATAAAACCCCCTCCCCTGACAGATTTATTGATTTCTTAACTTGGGCTCATATGAAAAGTGAAGCAGCTAAAAAAGATTCGTGAGCAGTACAACTGTTTAACCTAATTTCCTAATAACATCAAATATGGAGCAATAATGGAGCAATAATGGAGCAACACCACAGTGGCTCCTGGCATGCAACAAATAATTCAGAGTGCTGAGTAGCTAAAATACCCAGAGAAAGTTTCTGGAAGGCTTTGCTCTGAAGATGTTCAGATCAATGTACTTCCCTCTACACAGGTATCTTTATCCTTATAAAAAGGTAGGAAAAAATGGGTTTGGGATTTTCAGACATACAGCGTAAAAAAAGGGCAGTGTGTGATTTACTAAAGAAAACTTGGGCCAAGAAGTTTTGCCACAAATCCAAGATGAGGGAATTGAGTGTTAGAAACATATTCCAAAAGTTATTTATTCCAAAAGTTTTTAAGTCTCATGGCACTGGAATTCTGATTTCTGCCTCAAACAATGTCGTTCAGCAATCAACAGCATTGCCATAATCTGTCACTTGAAAGAGAATTTTTTATCACTTTCAGCTCTCATTTTTCAAACAAAGCCCTTTGTTTTTTGAGAAATTGTGTATTTTATACAGCAAATAACACAATCCTGTTTGGAAAGCTGAAAGAGAATTCCTTTGGGGATCTAAAGCTTTACGATACACGTGTTCCCTGCAGCTGAAAGAGGAAATAGAGACAGGCTGGCATCGTGTTTGTACTAAACTGTGACAAAGGCAACCAAGCCATCATCTCCACAACCTCCCAAAGTTAATGAGGCATCTCATTAACTTCAGAGGAGCGGTTGTAGGTAATTATTCAGACGGCCTGGCCAAAGAGTTCCGTGTAAGGCACAGTGGGGACAGCAGAGCCCAGCTGTGGTTACACATCACACACAACGCTGCGACTGTGGAAACATTTAGGCAAAAGAGATTTTTTGGGGACCTGCACATGGCTCCAGAGGTGCTGGGAGCACCACAGCCTCTGCTTTTAATTTGTTCATACGAGGTATAAACACGGAATGCCGTTAATTCAGCTCTGTCTCAATGCAAGAATACATGAATGCGTTATGGACGGGCCACAGCGATCAGAGCCCTAGGGGACAGGGATACGGAGAAGCCCAAAGATTAAGTAGTTGGAAAAGTGAGCGTGTTTAATTCAGTTTAACGTAAGGCTGGCACAGCAGCGACTGAGAAGCGATGTCCTCACAGTGAAGTGAGCAAAGCTGCGGAGAGGGAACAGCACATTGAGAAGCGTGAAGGCAGCACCTCAGCTGGGGAAGCTGTGAGGGCGGACACCGCCACAGCTGCCCGTGCTCACATTTACCACAACTCCTTCACGTCTAAAGTCTCTGCGGCTCCAACACAGGCGCTTATTTACGGAAAGCGGCGCTTCTGGCTACGCTGAGGGCGGGGAAGCAGCGGCCACAGCAAGGGAGCGGCCTGAGGGGACAGTCCCGCCCGCTCGCCCCTCAGCCCGCGGCGCTGCCCCCGCCCAGCCCCTCTCCCACGCGCCCGGCCCCGACCTGCCGCCGGCTCGACCGAGCACCGGGAACCAAGCACCGCGAACCGGGAACCGAACACCGACTACCGCCGCCAGCGCCCGCCCCTTCCTGGCCGGCCCGGCTCGGCATGGCCGCCGGCGCTGCGCCATCGGCGTGGGGAGGGCGGGAGCTGCGCCGGGCTGAGGGCATGGAGGGCACTGAGGGGATCGGGGACTATTCTGAACTGGAAGGGACCCGCAGTGATCATGAAGCCCAGCTCCTGAAGCGAAGGGGCCACAGAAGGGATCAAACCCATTATCTCTGTGTTGTCAGTACCATGCTCCAACCAAGCGAGCTGATCCCAGGATCGCCTGAGGGCATGGCGAGGGATGAGGTGATGCTGCCCAGCCCCATTTATCTTTATAATTCCCTCTCTGTCGGGGCACACTGTATTACCCAGTCACTATCCGAAATCAGGAGCTAGCTGGGTAAGGTAAGCAGGGCATGGGACTTGAGAGCTGAAACTTTCTTAACAAAATGACCAGCATGAGTTAAACTTGAGTGCAAGCAATCCTTTTCATTTTGGAATAGGAATATAATCCCATTAGCCTTTTCTCTATAAATGTAATTGCCGCTTCAGAGTCTTGCATGGTTATTGAGCCTAATTATCTTGTCAGATGGGAATGTGTTCAAAAGATAGCAGGTTCCAGAGCCTCATGACTGCCACCAGCACGGGTGAACTCTGAATCACCTGGGTGTTAGTGGCTCTCAGGCTGAAAAAGATTTCAGTGGAACTGCTGAAGGAAAACTTGGAAGGTGCTGCACTAGAACTCTTAAGGATTCCTTCAGAGGGCCAGTCTCACCCTGGAAATCACATTTCTGTATGCTGCCCTTTCCTGTTGACCTTTTTTTTTTTGGCTCTGGAGAAAATAGTGTAATAACACAATTCTTTTGGAAGGGCAGGGTGAAGAATAATAAGAGATTTCACTGGGCATGTTCATTCTGTTTTCATTTCTTCACACCCATGTGCTGAAAACATACATGGGCTTGCAGGATCCCTTGTGGGTGATCTGTTCAGGCCAATATAAATCAATTTGTTACGGACCCTTACAGTACCAGTCACCCACTGGTGTTGGTGAAGGGAACTCGACAAGAATATTCTCTGTGAGCTTTAAGACTTGCCCAGGGTTTCTAAACTTATTTTCAGTGCAGCTAAATATCTGGTCCAGTCTTTATATTTGGAATGATACAGTAGTTGGGTTTAAAACTACCTGCCTTTTTTCCCAGGTGGAAGGCTTTTTTCTGGTTGGTTATTAGCAAATGTCATATATTCTGCAGTAAGCTTGTTGCTGTCCAAAGAGATGAGAAAATCCAAAGGATTTTTATCCGCTGAAGGCTCCCGTTCCTGGCAGAAAACAAACCTGTGTTTTCCAATACTTTAGCTGCACAAGAGCTCCTACCCTCTTAGTCTAATCTGTTTTATCTGCTGTGAGACACTCTGTGTATTTATATACTGAGCAACTGCAGGACACCAGTTTCCATTCTTATCAAACACAAATATTTACCTGATCCAAGGTCTCCTGAGATCCTTAACACTCTTAAACATGCAGTTTAACTAGAGAAATCTATTTTT